TAGAAACTTGCCCGCTAGCTGCCTTTTGAAGCTGTACAAAACTGTTTGCTGTTGTAGAATAAAAGATTAGAAACCATGTCAAAGGTACTCATCTGTAATTTGTAACAGTAGACTTCATCATATTAAACGAGCTTGACATAAAAACCTGTATGCACAATTTCAAAAATGCAATGCAAATGAAACAGAGCAGCGGGCTTCCTGCTCTTTCTGCACTGTGCTTAACAGACGTTGAACTGTTTGTCACTGCACCTCTGACATAGCAAACATACCTCTGCAGCTCTGCCCTGCCTTCTGCTAAGTTGTTTCTGGCACAAAAGAAGAATGTCACCACCTGAGGCGACCTTGTGGCCAGGTATTTTCTGCAGCTAAAACTCTAAGCTATTAAATTATGTTTTGCAGGCCTACAGCACATACCTGATGATGATGAGATAAATTCTTCTCAACTTCTTTTGAGGTGAAGTAAATCCACGGAAAAGTAAGAGGTGGGGAAGAGAGGAGGGGGGAGGGGAGCTCTACTGTGGTTATGTTAATTGGACTTACGGTGGTCAATGCCATTGACTTGTGCTGGTTTCGATGGGACGGCATTGCCTGTTCGATCTTCATAATCAATGGGTGGGAGTTCTGGGAGACTTTCAGTGGGGCTCTGACACTGGGAGGATTCCTCAGGTGGAGGGGTAACAGAATAGGAGTGGATGTCACATATCAAGGGGCTAAGAGCAGGTGAGAAATTACATCTTGTTAGTGACTGAGCTGTAAACAGAGATGTTTCTTCGTAACTGCTGGAATGAAACTGTGTGTGTTCCTGCTGTTTGTGTTCTTTACCTGTTGGTCTTCTTGCGTGCATTCTGTAGAGCATTGAAAATCCTCTGGTCACCTGGTGGTGTTCTTTTTCCAGGACTCATATCCTCTGCCCTCTCCAGGGCAGAGAGTGCTGAGACTGGACGCTCTGGTTTGGGAGATGGTGGAACAGATGGAGGGTTTGTGGCTAGAGAAGGAAGTTTCTCCACAGCAGTTATATAAATATCATCTTTCCCAATCTCAGATGTAATTTCAGGCTCGGGGGGTGATGGAGATGGAGAAGAAACCAGGGAAGGAGAACCAGAGATGACACAGCTGGGTGGAAGAGGTGGAGAGACACTGGGTGGACTGGTAATAGCTTCATCTTGGCTAGAAACAGGCAAAGTGGGATTTTCTATTTCAGGTGGGATTTCACTGGTCAAGATTGGGATTTCAGGTGGTGGGCTCTCAGGTATGAGAGGAGGAGGTAGGTTGAAGGCAAAAGATTCAAGAGTAGTAGAGGTTGGGGACATTTCTACATCAGCACTGTGATCTGGTAAGGTGGGGTTGTCTGGTAGATGGGGCTCTGATGTTGAATTAGGTATTGTTTCCCCACCAGATTCAGAAGGCACTGGGAGGAGTGGAGCTAGTCCAGCAATATCTGAGCTTGGGGTGTCCAGAATTGGATCAGCTGAGATCGACACTGAATCTCGTTTTGACTTTTTGAAAAGATTGAAAGGCTTCTTTTTCTCTGTTGTGACTTTAGGTGGGGGTGCGGCTGGCACCAGCTCTGCAGTACTCTCTTTCTGAGTTACAGGGACAACCGAAGGAAGCGTCTTGTCTTTCTTATTAACTTTCTTTTGATCCACAGAATCTTTAAGAAGATTCTCCCTGCTCCCTTTGAGTGTTTTGTGCTTACCACCTTTCCGTTTCCCTTCACTTTTGTCTTTTTTGTCGATGAGAGGTTTTTTGCTCTCTTTCGGATCATCTTTGAAGACCACTCTTGGGGCAAATAGTGTCTTTCTTTCCAAGTTCTCATTAATGGTGGTGAGCAGGGAGGGGCGTGCACCTGAAGGGAGGTAATGACTGGGGCTCTGGGGAGGAGAGACCACCTTTGGCTTCTCTGGGAGAACAGGTTTTATCTTGGGTTTCTTCAGTATGAATTCTTCTTGTTGAAACTTGGCCCTTACGGCCTGAAAGTCAATCTGTTCCTCCTGATGAAAGTATCACACAGTACAATAGTCTCAATACAGGACCTAAATAAGGTAAATTTTATTTCGCTAACATATTTGGAGTAAGAACAAAATCCCAAATCACTTATTATCAAGAGGAGTTTAATTCTGGTCTTAATCCGGTAAGATAAAGTATGTCATCATTGTAGTAACAACGTTACAGCGTACAGAGCTAAAACTCTGTCTCACTTTACTTAATGTTGTTGTAAGCTTTGATCTTTCTTTTTTTTTTCAAATGTCAGTTTACAGTATTGCCAGGATTTATGTCTGCGAACACAACTTTAAATATATCAATAGCATATTATCCAATCATCATAATGTTACGAGCGTCATGGGACATACCTGTTCCATTGCGCGTTTTGATATCCACAGAAGCGACAAAAAAAAACTCCTTTACGAATAGAGATCGTTCTCTTATTCAGCTTCTCATCCTGTGTCCGTTGGAAAAAAACAAAGAAATTAATTTAAAATAAAAAAGGAAGAAAGAAACTTTAAATAGTGTATTCACTGTTCCAGGTTCCTGCGTGCTTCACCTCTGATCGAGACAAATCTGCGTCCCATGCGCACCCGAGATGGTTTCAGAGGAGGAGTGCGATTGAGTAAAAAACAGTCGGGCTCGTCAAACTAGTCCTGCTGAGCATTTTACGCCACAGCACGATGACTGTCAACAGCTCTTGGATTCTTCTCACTCTTCTTCAGGAATGTCGCCCGGCTGGCACGACGTGAGTCACTCTCATGAAACCAAGCGGATGGAGATTTTTTTTGTGTTTATTTTCAAAGTGACTCATTTTTTTAAGAATGCTCATCTCTCTTGTAAGAACAGTGTATTTTGCTGTTATGAGAGGATGTGGTATAAAAGTTTAATCTTTGATTTATTAACTCTCGCCTAAACGAATCATTCAAATTAAACGTAGAGAAAATGAGATGACCGAGGAAATGTGTCAATAATGTGACATAAATACATTCTGTAAGCGTTCTCTTTATTTGGCAGCTTTGTAACTGTAGCAGACTATAGTCTCTCATACGCTTAACTCACTACCAAGTTGTGTACACTCACCGGTCACTTCATTAGGTACACTTTACTCGTACTAAGGAGGATCTCTTTTTGTCTTAATTCTCACAGATTCAACAAAAGTGCGGAAAACTTTCATCAGAGATTTTGGTCCTTACCAGCATGACCGCATCACACAGTTGCTCTATTGGACTGAGATGTGGTGACTTTAGAGGCTATTTAAGAAACCACTTTGAGATGATTTGAGGTTCGTGACATGGTGCATTCCTAATGGGAGCAGCCATCAGAAGGTGGGCACACTGTGGTCATAAAGGGATGGACAACAACAGTACTCAGATTGTACTGTAGTTTTTAAACAATGCTGACTGAGTTTGTACTAAAGAACCCAAAGTTTTTGAGATATCCCACACACCATTATACCAACACCGCCCTGAACTGTTGTTGCAAGGCAGGAGAAATCTATTTTTGATGCTGTTTGTTGTTGCAGAAATCCAGACTCATCAGTCCAGGGAATGTTTTTTTCAATCATCCACTGTCCAACTTTGGGGATGTAGCCTAAATTTCCTGCACATGGTGCCACTACTGCTGTAGTGTTTCAAGGTGCACTGTGTTCAGAGATGCTCCTCTGCATACCCTGGTTGTAAAGGGAGTTATGTTCTTTTCCTTTTAGCTCAAAGCAGTCTGGCCATTCTCCTCTGATCAACAAGGCATTTCGCTTACTGGATATTTTCTCCTTTTTGGGCCATTGCTCTGTAAACCCTAGAGATCGTTGTGGGGGGTAAAATCCCCGTAGAGCAGCAGTTTGCCACGTTCACTTAAATCATCTTTCTTCCTTTCAGATGCTTTTTTTAAACTTCAGGTCATCTTGATCATGTATACGTGTCTAAAAGGAGTCAGCTTATACAATGTCCCTGATTAGCTCTGTGTATTAACTATTAGTTGAACAGGTTTAATTAAAGAAGTGGTCAATGAGTGTAGATTTCAAGTTGTTTGGTGTACATAGCACGTCTTTGCTCAGTCTAGTGGATAAATAATATTCTTCATTCTATAAATAACAGAATGGAGTCTTTATTTTGCGGCCTTGTCCTTTGAAATGTATTATAACTGGTGCATGTTTAAGGTGACTGTATTTGCATATTTAAATAAAACATTCCAGAAAATTTGCATTACAGAAGAATTAAATGATTGTAGGTAATCTTGTAAACTAAAAATGCTTTTTGTTTTTGCAATTTTACATTGGATACCTTTTAACGCCATTTCTTTCTTTTTTTTCAGGGAAAGATCTAAGTTTTACTCCCATCTGTATGTGGAAGGTTTTTACCGCATCCTTCATTCAAAAAACTTTGAGTATGTGATTCATGGTGCATTCTATTCCTAGAAGCATGTTGAAAATCTTATCTTATCTGTTGACAAAATTTTCTCAAGTAAAAAAAATGAGCTACTCAAAATCAGATCTGTAAAAACATTTCACACTGATATGCTAACTTTAAACTGGCTTCATCCAGTGTACAAATTTCAAAAGGCAAATTAGAAGATATTTAGATAGCTGATACATTTGATAGTTAAAGATAAGGCTCATCGTGTATAATAAAACGGTTGTCTTGATAGCGTTCGGTTTTTTGTTTATTATTAACCTGTAGCATCTGCCTTTAAACATGTCTGTAACTTTTTGGTTTCTATGGAGAAGACTATAGCTGTGGTGCTCTCTTGAAAAATACATAAAGATGGTCAAACTGCTGCTCATCTTTCCAGCACAGCCTGCTGCTCATCTTGGACAATTTGCAGATGTCAGTTTTGACAGCTTTCACAGGTGAAATGTTCTCAAATAAGCTGCACACAGTAGGGTTTATAGATTATGGAGTACCCAGGACACTGTTTGAAGGAAGACAAAAGCTGTCAGATATAATTTTTTAATGTTTAAGGAATAACAAGAAAATTCCATTCACCTGCACAGGTGTCAGATAAGATAATCCTACAGATAAGCATCTCAAATACCTGTCACTTCAAATTGAAACAAATCCCACAACCAAATAGCACAGTGACAGCATTTTGTGTGTAAAATGGTTCATTTAAAATGTGTAAAGTTCTAGTTCAATTGAATTTACAGAACAGTGCATTAAGGGTGTACTCGTGTCTGAACCCTTTCTGTGGGTAGAAAGTGAGAAACAGAACAAGAGTAGGAAGGTTAGAGTTCTTGTTTTGCGGTTGCTTGCTAATAAAGCTTATGACAGCTTGCAATAGAGTGTAGCAGAATGTGACAGGTCATTAAAGCAGTGTTAAATTATTGCAAAATGCTGTGGCACTTGATGGTGGAGGTGGTGGTGGTGGTGTGTGTGTGGGGGGGGTCACCTCTGCTAGGCACACACCATTAGGCTCACTCTTTCTTGCTCGCACACAAAAGCAGAGGCATAAACACACGTATTAGTCATTTGGGATGTGTTTATTTGTAACAGTAATACATGGTGGAATACGTAAATCAAGATAGAACCAAAAAAATCATCTAAAAACCCACTGTAGAATGTCATATTCATAAAGATAAAAATAATGTGTCAATTTACATTAAGAAACTGTTAGCTGAGGTAAAGTTAAAATAGGTCTAGAAATGTTATGTACTCAAACAGCAACGTTTCCCTTTTTATTCAACGTCTTTGCTCATCATCTAGTTCTCAAAGTTTTAAAGTTAATCAGCTTCATAGTCCAAAAGAGTTCTCGAATGATATGGGGACTCTGGCCATAAAATAGGGAGTCATTGGCATCACAGTTGATGTAGTTGTAGCAGAGGATGCTGCAGTCCACACTCAGACAGCAGCAGTTTGGCACCTGACCAACAGACAGACAGATGGGCAGAGCATCGCTGTTATCTTTGAGACTAGTCTGGGAGAATGCGATGGAGGAGAGGAGCAGTCTGGGCTACAGTGAGTGAGTGAGACCCTGACTGTTGCCTGCAACATAAAAATGATAGTCTTGTGATACAAAAGCTCAGGACCGCGATATAGTGTTTTTGGGTGGGAACTCAAGAAGACACAGCAGGGCACGGTGCAGGCTTTAGGGCTGGAACCAGAGTAATTAATGGTTCACAACATCTATGCACAAAAGAGGGGGGGTGAGGCGAATGAAACAGACAACAGGAAAAAGAAAACATATGTTGGTATTGCTTGGGTTAACGTCAAGAGTTGCATAACTGAAGCCTTCCTATTTTATGGCACAGAAGTCCAGTGGACAAAATGGTTGTTATCATTATTTACAAAATGAGTTTGGCAAACCAACGATCAGATGCCTTAAAGCCATGTTGACTCTATATCTCCTATAGAGCTGACCCCAGCGGCTTGATTGACTTATAAAATAAAAATTCAAATTTTTCAATTTCTTCTTCTTTTTTTAATCAGTATTGTACAAAAGCTATAGAGAATGAACAGTTCAATCACAGAATCTGTTTAACTTGCAACACTTCCCTCTCAGTGTCTTTTCTTCAGCATGTCTGGTCCTCTGGCCTCTGTATGAGTCTGTCTGCGAGGAGAGACGTTTGGCAAATTACTGTGTGTATGCATGTCAGAGAAGGTGGACTGTGTGTATATGTGTTTGCATGTGTGAGAGTATGTAAGCTGATTCCTGTGTGCAAGATGTATGTCGTTGGTGTGTGAGTAGCTCCCAGAGAGTCTGTTTCTGCATAGTGATCCAGCAGACACTCACAAGAATGGGGTTAAACTCCCCGAACCAGCCAAGCAATCAGAAGCAGTGATCCCAGTAACGGGCCATCCCTGATAGGCCCATTAATAGTCTAGCTCCTCCTATGGGATCTCCTCACTACAGATGCAGATTCTGTCCATTAAAACAAAAGGTGATCGTTCTAATCCCGATGAGCGTGCGTGTGTGAGGGAGTGTCAGAGACGGGGAGGCACTGCATGATTCAGTCCCTTCTTGGCAGCACAGTCTCTGGCCAGACACAGGAGGCAGAGGAAAGAGAGCAAAGGAGGAGGAAGGGAACGGGGGGGCAGAGAGGGGAGGAGCAGGTTCTATCTGTAAGGCTGGGTGTGAGTCGCCACAGGGAGAAGGGAGGAGAGGAGAAGACTGCGCAGTGGAGGGAGAACTGGATCCGTCTCAGTGATTGATATCCCTTCCTGCCTGGAGTGAATGACCAAGAGGGCTCTCCCCTCTCAGGAGGAGGAAAGACTGCAGACAGGAGGAGGAGGAGGAGGACTGTGGGAGTGTGGAAGCTCCTCCTGGGAGGTTGTTAGCTGAAGGAGAAGAAGAAGGGCTTGGCCAGGCGGGGATGTGCCAGACATGCACGCACACACGCACTCACACAAACAGAGGTTAAGGGTTCTCCTCCTGTTCTCTCAGTGCTGGTCAGGTCTGTCTTCCTGTGTGTCTCTTTATTTCTTCCCTTTGTTAATCTGGGCATAGAGAGGGTCCTTCCTCTTCTGTCAATGAAAGAAAAAAAAATTACCACATTTTTACTTTCCTTTGTTTTTTTCCAAGGCTTGCTATATCTGTAATGTCAGTGTCTGGCCTCTGTGTTTCATCTGAGTGTTACATAATAAAAAGGGAGCGCCCGGATTTATGATTCATTCTCTCAACTGACTGAACTGCAAGTATCAGCAACCTGCAAGCCCTGACAAGTTAGCTCTAGTTTTGCAGTGGTTTGCAAGTTCCTATAACTGACATCACCACCAGGTGGCAGTAGCACACTGCATTGAAGGAGACCTTCGGTCACTTTTCCTCTTACCTCTTAGGCCGTTCATAGGTCCATCACTCTCAAAGCCATTTGTGTGCGCGTGCCTGCATGCGTGTTTGTGTGTTGTTATCACAGTGTCCATGTAAATGCATATTTTCTCCCACCTCAAACTCCCTCCAGGACCAGCAAGAATCAGAGGTAGTGCCTTGAAAAACCAGTTATGAGTCATCATGTCTGCATTTCTCTCCAGCTGAGCTGGAAGACAACAGTGGATGATGGAACACCCTGCAGTCAAAGCACCAACCCTGCTGCAGTCACTCACAATGGGGTCGTTATTATTGTACACATAATTATAGCCAGCCACTCAATCTGCCATGTAGACAACTTGATTGGAGGCTACTGACTTTCCTATTATATTCTGGGAGACTTCTCCAGAGCAGAGAACTCATTTAGAGTTTGGGGCTGCCCACAGCTCCCCTATTAGAAGAAGGTTTAGTTGAGCAAACTGCTCGTAGTTAGGTGTGTCTCTGTCACAATATGACTCAACGTTGGGCTGTTCTGTTTTGGAGGCTCAGCTAGATAAAAAGAAGTCATTAAAATATGTTAAACTGGGTTCTGGAAAACCATTATGTTTTTGTTTTTTTTGAATATGCTGTTTGACATTTTATAGATAAGCAATGAATGATTGAACCTCTCACTTCTACTTGTGCTTAAACTTACATAATGCACAATCTGCAACAGCTTTCATCTAAAAAAAAGAATACTTGGGTTGATGCTGGGAGGACTGCTTTAGTTAAGGCTTTGGTCTTTGGCATACAAAGCTGTAACTGCAGGGCTGGCCAAGGCCAGACAGTCAGCAGAAAGTAGCTGCCAGCAGCCCCGAGAAAGGTGACAAAGAGGCTGAGACAAGCAGTGACAGCAAGCACACACTGCTCAGCCAATGCACCAGAGCCACAGCCCAGCGGTGTCACCCTGCATCATCTAACAGGCACTGCCATCTGAGGCGGCTTCAGCTCCTTCATCCCCAGCCGAGAGAGCGAGTACAAGTCCTCGGTGGAGGTATGAGTGATTTGCTGGCGTGGCAGCAGCCTCAAGGCCAGAATATCCGGCCTGGCTGGTACATGTGTGGACATTTATGTGCATGCGTGTGGTAGGCCCTCGGCAGGGGGAGCAATGTGAGATTGGTCAGTGAACCGTGGAAGCAGGCCATTTCATGGCTGAGACTCGGGAGCGTTCACTGGACATGATGAAATCACCCCAGAAAAAACACTTACACTCCCACTAGCCTGAACACATGTCTGTCGGAGACACGCAGTGGGAGGGGGAGGACAGGACAGGCGGTCATGGCCAGCAGCAACACACTCACACAAGCACACGCATATTTTTGGCTCCAATATGAGCACAGGTGGTGACAGTATCGATCACAGGTGTGCTTGTCCAGGGAATAGCCGGGACTACTGCACAGGTGTGTGTGTTTGGGAAGATGTCTAAAGCCGATGTGATTGAGCAAGTAAACACCATATGGGAACAGCGTAATTGGACCAGGACCAAAGCAGTCCACCTACTACAGAGGACAGACTAGAAGCTTCTGGCCATAGCTGCTAGATCATAACCAGATTTCCTGCTCAGTATTCTAAAATTCGTTCTCGTACTTAAGTGCCACATCCACCTGCTGCCATGCAGCTTTCATAGCGTCTGAATGAGGAGCAAGGCCAACAGGGGAGGGAAGCTGCTTTGCCCCCCTCCTCCTCTCCCGGAGTGGGGAAGGACTTGAAGGCTCCTTGGGTTTTAATTAATGCCAATTATATCGGGGCAGTCATTAATCTTGGCGCTCCAGTATTAGCTGATGAAAACAAAACCATCACATTTTTTTCTGGTGTGAGTGCCAGCAGCTATCATTAAGGAGCCACAGTCGGGAATTGTGTGGGAGAGGACACCGGGTAGGGAGGCAGGGATCAAAATGGCTCTTTTTCTTGGAGTGTGTGTTTGTGTGTCATTGAATAGGCAAACCGCATATTGACATGCTTCTCATAGAACGTTCAAGCTTATGAAAGTTGTGAATTTCACTGTAGAACAAAGTGCAAAAAGTGTGAAAACATGCCCGTCATCAGTGACTGCCTGTCTATATCGCTCAACGTTTAACATTGGTGCCTGGTGCTTAAGTGACATTGCACACTGTATATAATGCATAAAATGTGAGCATACATCCTGATCAAATTAAGCCAAACAACTGAGATCAGCATATTGCACACAAATCCCAAAAGACATCCTGCTCACTGAAGTGCACGGTTTCTGATTGGCTGTCACACGCTATTGAATTTCCAAGTGAGACGTGTGCTATTTAGAGAACTGAGCGTGATTTAGGTGCACATCAGAATGACAGAACACAATGAGAGCACTATGGCCAAAGTGATGTTGCGTGATGAACTTGTCACACACTGTTTCCAAAAAGTCACACATGCACAACACCTTCATCATGAACAGATACTTACAAAACAAAAAATTCCAACACATGATAAAGCATTAAAACCAAACCACACGTGTGCCATCCTTTGAACTTGTGTTAACGAGGCAATGAAAACAGGTAAAACAGTGAAAATGTAACCACTGATGCAAAAAAAACAGAAAGATGCAACACACTTATGTAAGGGAGGTGCAACAGTAAATGAGAAGAAGAGATACATGCAGAGAGTTGAAGGAGTTAAGAGGGGAAGGAGAGGTATTGATACCTACCTTGCCCTGCTGCTATCTAGCTCCCAGCCTCTGGACTGGCCTGATCTGGGCTGGGCTCTGCTGTCTCGCTGGGGCAGGGCGACCCAGAACCACATGCCTAAAGAGTGGAAGACGGAAAGGAAGGAAGAGGAAAGGGTGGAAAGGAAGGTCCATGGAAGAGTATAAGAAGGAAATAAAGGGAAAACAGACAGAGAAGAATAAATCTGAAGGACAGAACGCTGGATTGATAAACTACAAGAACAGAGCAAACAGGAAGCAAAGAGTAAAGCTGTTAATGCTCTGAAGGAGAAACACAGACACTTAGAGTAGAAAACCACAGCCCATCGCAGCTTTTCCTTTTATAGAAACTTCTTTGCAAATACACACAAACAGTAAACATGCACTCGTTTACAGTGGTGTGTTATGAAAACCTTTGTGGAGTTACTTCTATTGATCCACTGCTTTTTTTCCTAAAACACTTCTGCTTTTTGCACCTCAACCCACAAAAGGGTGGGAGGTTGTTTTTCTGCGTTTGCTCCATCTTTCCAGTCCTCTCGCTTTTTTTTTTTTTTTGTAACCTTTTCGCCGCACTCACTCAGTGCCGCCACCAATGCACATGTCTTTGGGTTGGTCAAAGCTTCTGTGTGTTATTCAGGGCTGGTGACATTTTCAGCAGTGTGAAAGTCCTCTATTTTTTCAATAATAGCTGGATTGGAGGCATAAAACTAATGTTTCACGCCTGGGGAGTGAAGGACGAGAGGGAGGAGAGAAGCAAGCTTGAAAGAAACAAAAAAAAGAGTAATTGGAAGACAGGAAGAAAATGGCAGGGAAAGAACTAGAAAAGTCTTGCTTCTTAGAAGGTCACAGATTCTACAAGGACTTTGGTCAAAGGCACTCCCTAAGAATCTGACGTTCTATCCTTCTTTCCCCCATTTTCTTTCGTTTTATCTTTCTATTTTCTCTCCATCTTCTCACTCCTCCTTAATTTCACCCATTTTTCTGCCCCAGATTAAGGTGCTACAGGTAAAAATAAATATTAATTGCCCCTGGAAGAAGAATTGGGGCATTACGCTTCCTATATCTCACCACAGATGAGTCTGTCCACATAGAAGTAGTGATGTATGGATGCTACCTTGCTGGTATTAATAACAGCTTAATGATGTCTCTGACAATTTCACCAGCTAATTTAACGCTGTGTTGACCATGCACACACTCAACCCAATACTCATGCATGCTACTGCTCATTTTTCCACAGTAACCCACACTGGACGTGCATTTTCATATGCATTGACACAAACACCAACACACACTCTCACACTAAAGGACACAACAGCGTCGGCCCCCTAATCAGCGAGAGTGATTACCTGGCCCGCCAACACGGCTACAAAGGCTATTTATCAGCAGATCTCAACAAGCTGTGCAGGTTATAGCAGCATAAGAAGTGACTTATTAAAAAGGCGCACACACTTGGCTTACTCCAAAAATTTCTCACACACCAAACCACACCACACTTACAGCATCTTCCTCTCCACTGCGACTGGGACTGCCCTCTGCCTCGCCAAACGAGTCGTCGGTGGGGGGGTCTGTGGCGTCGGTGGGGGGGTCACTGACATGAGAGGCTGAGGATTTTGAGGGAGAGCTCTGCCTGGGAGCTGGGGTGGGTGCTGCAGAGGAGGACAGAACAATTAAGGCGTAACTACACGCTGGATGGTGATAAGAGAAAAAGCGTGTTACACAGCACAGACAGACACGGAGAGAGCGCTCACGGGAGTTGGTGGATGGTGTTGTGGAGGTGACTGGTGTCAGATTCATCTGAGAAATGTCAAAGTCATCACAGTCATCTGTGTCCTGGGCAGTGCCCACACGGCTGAAGTAAGTGCTGAACGCCTCTGAGGTTCCTGTTAAACTGGGCTGATCAGCCTTCTTCGAAGGCATGGCCGGAGGCTTCGCCAGCTGAAAATCCTAAAGGAAGACAGAGACTGGTCAGCAAGGTTAACATTGAAAGTGTGGACAATCAATTAGTGACCTTTGTTTCAGGTTACTGTACAAATCACTGCCTGTTTTGCAGCCTTTTTATTGATGAAAACACCACCAGACTGGGGAAATACGTTCTCTCATAGACGAGATTTTGCAAGTGAAAAATTCTGATATGAATATGTATGTATTTACACTACAGATTAGTTGAATCCGAAAAAATGTGCATTTTTGATGTGTTTGTATGTGGCCTAACTATGTGAACCAAAATGTATTTCCAAAAATGTCATTTTTGGGAAGCCTTTAAAGGGTTAAATGAGGCTAATTTGCTCAACATAGCTAAAATGATCAAATACAACCCAAATATGTATGACTGTCTATTTGTACTTACATGTCCCACTTTTATGACTCTTTGCACCCTAAGGCTTGTTTCAGACTTACCCAAGCAATTAAAAACTGGTCCCAGACATAGTGCAACTCTAAAAAAATACTTAAATTAGAAAATTAACTGTGATAAATTATTCAAGGAGCAAAAACTAATATTTAGTTTTTATTTTGAATGGGACTATGAAGACTATTTGTAAAAATCGTCTCTGTATTCATCAGTTCCCCACCTTGAACATCTCCTTTCCCATCTTCTTTCCTCTCTCCCCATGCTGTGGACTCGAAGATGCTGAAGGGGAAGGAGCTGAAGCGCTGGCTCCAGTGCTCGAATGGCTCTCGCCGGCTGGAGTCACAGTCGTGACGGGGGTGAGAGTCTGGAACATGGCGGCGGGCAGGGTGCCCACAGGCTGGGCTGGGAGGTAGGCTGTGGGGGGGAAGGCTCCTGCTGCCATGGCTGCCCACTGCTGCTGGGTGGCAGGGAAGATGTTGGCCTGGCCCCAGATGAGAGGCTGGCCACCTGGCAGCACCTGGGCTACCGGGCCTAGAGGAGATTGGACCCCGAAGGCCAGCGGAGTCTGGGCAGCAAAAGCCTGCTGGGACCAGTGGCCAGGAGGTACTGCTCCCATCGTCACATAACCTGGTTGTGAGTGGATTGAGATAAGTTATTTCATTTTTTTCTGCGCCATTTTAAAAGAGTAAGAAAAGAAGACAAAAGAGAAAGTGATTAGAATATCCACAGTGCATAGCCTGCTTTTCCACACACAAACCTGCACATGCATCACCAGAGAGTGCTGCCCTACTTTTGCCCGCGGCTAATGCAGTGTCTCTTAATGGTCATGGTGAACTATTATAATTACCTCCAGATTGAGGCAGAGTCATTATGAAAAGGTAGAACTCAACACTCTCATTAAAATCACTCAGATTCATCAGTTAAAGCTGTTTCGTATTTCACACTCACTAGTCTCCTGGTTCTAGTCTCTGCTTGCTAACTACAGCGGAGAAAGTTGACATTTAACCTTGGCTGCTCTGACACATGCACAGAGAACGGAAAAGAGGAGGCAAGCAGAGGTGATGAGGGGGGTGAATAAAGAGATGCAAAACCTTTATACCAATTTCTAAATACACAGTAGCTCTGTGCACAAAGAAGTCTTCACTACAATCATCGCGGCATGTTTTATTACTTTCCCCCGTCTGACGCAGTTGGCTCAGCCACAAGTAAATCAGCAGCATCTGAGGCCGCGGGATAATAATGCTTTTCATATTCAACACACAACCAATGCCACCTTTTCTCCTCTTTCTCTCGTCTACGTTTCGCTTCTACTCCATCGCTCTATATTTATTTCAGCACAACCCCGTTTCTTCTCTTCTTCAGATGCCCCCTGCATCTGAATCTTCTTAGTCTCCAGTTTGCCTTCATGTCTCTCCTGCTGAGCTTGTTACCCACTGGCTTTTAGAAGCCTTGTATTTAAGCAGAACGTAAACAAGGTCTTACCTGAGGGCACAGACGCAGGATTGAAGGGAGCAAACAGTTCCGTGGGAGGCTGCAAGCCCTGTGAGGGGTCCAGGGTGTTGGCTGGAGAGGCGGGAGTCTGTGCAGGTTGTGGTTGGAGGTCAGGTGGACAACGAAAAGGAGACAACTCAGTGGAGATGCCGGTATTATTTTAAAAGATGTAAATCACAGACTGTGTATGTATAACGGCTACTCACAGATGGAGAGGTGATGTCAGGAGGCGTAGACATGTCTCCAAAAATTTCTAATTGGTTGATATTCTGAGAATTAGAGAAAGAGCATAATAGCAGTCAGGCACAATCGCGGGAATATTAGACAACATGCAATTTCTGAATCGCTCTACATTCCAGTGCAACGTGCATCATACACCGCATGCGACGCGACATTAGCTCGGTATGTTAGAGTTACCTACCTGAGGACTTTGGCAGCAACAGAAGAGGTAAAAGAGGGGTGTGGAGAGATGGGATAATGAGATGAAATGATTGATTATGATGGCATACCTACCAGGAGTTATCACAATCTTTGTCATCTGCTTCAGATAAAGATTCTTTCCATCAGTGGATCTAAAAGCAGACTACCACACCCTCTAGTATCATTATTGTAGCAGCGTCGTCTTTTGGACAAGTCATTAATGTTTCCTTCTTGTGGAAGATATGTGGTATGTCCCAGAGGGAATAACTATCGGAGACAGCAGCCTTTGTATTCAATCCGGATTGGTTCTGTACCGCTCTGTTTCCTTTCACAGTTTCACATGATCCTTCACTTCAGTATCTGCCTCTTTTTTTGCACATTATTAATATCTTTAGGCTGGTGGCAAGTGAAGGATAGTCTATTTTTAGTTGATAAAGGAATTTAAGCCTTGAACACATGGTCAGAGATTAGCATAAATCATGGATGCAGATAAATTCTTTAGAGATAATGAATGTTCTTAGAATATCTTCCCTTTTGTTCACTCTCCTGGGTCACGCATAGACCACAAAGTTCTTTTTACACGTATCAGAAAATGGATCTGTGAGCATGGTGTTTTACATTATGAGTCTAGAAGGCTTTTTTTTTTACTAAGAGGGATAGGAAGTTGTAATATATACTACGGCTGCAGCAGAGTTTAGCAAAGCAGACAAAATGGAATCAACAAGATAAGCCAGATATCCAAGATAGACAAAATAGTGCATTCACAGGCACTGATAAAAGGATTTCCACACACAGAACACATTTTAAGAGTTTTTCTAACTTTACAATAAATTTCCTCTGGCATTCATCAATGAATCATTCGTCAATGACAGAGCCCGTGCTGATGTTCTTTAATGTGAAACCACATGCACGGGGAAAATGTACTGTAGAGAGTGTTCAAACAGCACAGGAAGTTGAATATTTATAGACCTTCTGTCCAGTTTCCATTCGCTCAATATTCTTTACGTGTGCGGCGGCGGGTTGGTGAGGTCAGGTTGCTGTGATTATCATAGTGTTATGAATGCTTTATTAATGTGCTCGGAGCCGCGATGACCGCTGCTGTCGGCTAACCCTGCTGACCCCCACACCAGTTCTCTGACAGACACTATGACCTTTACGTCTACTCCGCCCTTAAAGGACCTCCGCTCTGAGCTAAGTGAGAGTTTTTCTCTCTATTCCATTGGCTTGTCCTCTTTCACACATGGACACCACGGCGGCGTGAATGCATGGGTGCACCCGTGCGGCTCTTGACTTTACTCCTGCCTGAACCTGGTTACTATGGCAACAACAAGGTTGCACGTTTTATTCATAAGTGACAGAGGTTAAGAGTTGGGGTCACTTATGACTACAGAAGAACAGAGTTGGAGGTACAGACGAGGATGCGAACACCAAAGATCATCTGAGGACGTGATTAAAGAGTAGTTCACGGCAACTAACGCTCAGGACAGTATGTTCCCTGTTTAGAGCTTTGAACATTGCATTAGTTTGAACTACAAAGTGCATGTTAGTATACTGTAACAACTTACCTGAGTCACCATATCCAGGTCTAAGTCTA